GGCCGCCCGAGCAGGCGGGCGGTGCCCGTGCCCCCTCCCCGGGCTGCCTCCGCATCCCCGGGCTGCTTCTGCATCCCCTGGCTGCTTCTGCATCCCCTGTGCCCCTCGGGGGAGCTCCTGGAGAGCAAACCCGGGGCGGCTGCGGGGTTTGCAGCGAGCGCGGGGGTTGCTGCGGGGAGCGCCCGTCCCTCGCCTTCCTCCTCCTCTTTCTCTCCTTGCTCTGGCTCTATTGTCCGCAGCGCCGACCTGGCCAGGTAGGCTGATGCTCGGTGGTGGTGGGGAGAGTGGGGCTGTGCCCTAAGCGTGTTTGCAGTGTGGGTTCTATGGCTTGAGATGCTGCGCTGTGACCCGGCGCTAAATCGCTGCTTTTCCTGCCCAATTTGGCTTCCCTTGCATCGCTTATTGTTCCAGCTTCAGCCCTACCTACATCTCAAACCTTGAGCCAGCGAGAAGAACATTTTCTGGCAGTCTCAAGGTTTTTTTCTCTTTTCTGCCTAGTCTGGGTGTGCTTAAAATCATGTTGGCAAGAAGGGGTTTATCTTGCAGTTTGATCTCTGGGGACTCCTCCTCTCTCTACAGGATTTCACTTGTTCAGGCAGCTTGAGTGTGCTGGGCTCTTTGTTCATTCCCTAAGAAATCTCGAGGCAGTTGTTAAACTGCCCCAGTGGAAGTTAAAAACCCTTTCTTGTGATGACTGTTGCAAGTTGTGAATGGAAGGAGGTGAGAAGATGAGCTCTCTAAAGGGCCAGCAGATTATTGCTGCTTCTCGTCTTGCATGGTGATGTTCTAAAACCTGGTGTCACCAAAGTATATTATTTGAGGTTTTTAGTCTGTGTAAATGGACCTGGAATAGCTTGAGCTTGGCTGGGCTGGCTGTTGCTTGCACTGGCACTGTAATAGCAGGGAGGCTGGTGCCAGCAAGCAAAACCTCCTTGAGACATCTCCTTTGAGGGTTCCTAGTTCCTGCAGGGTTCCCCAGTACCACAGCTATGCTGGTGGCAGTAGTGGTTGTTGTGGTTTTCCTGTCTGTGAGCTGGGAGAAGCACTGCACGGCAGCATTGGGCTCCTCAGAACAGAACCTGTGTGTGTGGGTTTGGCTGAAAGCAGTATGGAAAAGCCACTTTGGCTCTGCTGTGGCTCAGTGCTTCTTGCCAAGAGGTTGATGATGTGTGAACCTGACCTGGAGAATGGGCTTGGGGTCTTGGTTGGGACCCTGCAGACTTCATGT